TATATATTTATATATCTTATTAGAAACTAAAGTTTAAATTTAAAACTGGTTTTATTTTTTATGCTAGCTTTAGGTTAAACATTATTGTTAATCTTATGAAATATTTTTATTTTAATACAGTAAAAATGAAAAGAGAAAGCATTCACCTGGGCGGCAACGGTTTTCGCTTTATCAGCGAGTTCGTTTCGACTTGGAGTTGCGCAGATCGTAGCGACGTCGCTTGACTCCCATCTTTGAGGCTGGCTGGCATTTCAGTTCCTTGTCCGTTTCGTTGTTGCTGCTGCTGTCGTCGTCCTTGTCGTTGTCCTTGTCCTTGTCCTTGTCCTTGTCCTTGTCCTTGGCGCTGGCCTTGGCCTCTTCCTTGATGCAGGCCGCAGCGGCAGCAGCTGCCTCCAGCAGATCCTCGCAGTGCTCATCCACGGGCTCCTTCTGCTCCCGCTCCTGCTCCTGCTCTGTGTCTGCTGTGGCACATTTTCTCGCCAGCTTTTTTCGCTTGAGCTTGGGCTTGACTGGCGTCACTTCCTTCTTCTCGGCATCCAGCTCCAGCTCCACATCCACATCTCCGTCCGCTTGCTCGCACAGCTCCTGCATGACCTGCTCCAGCTCGATATCCTCAGGTGGCAGTTGGCAGCTCTCGCTCGCCTGCGTTTGCTCCGGTTCGCTCACGGCACTCGGCGTGCTCGGCTCGTGTCTGTCGTGATCGATGAGCTCATCCTCATCCTCGGAGTAGGCGATGCCGATGGGCAAGTTCTGCTGGAAGGAGTTGGCCTTGCTGGCATCCACCACGATGTCCTTGTAGCCAGTGGTGCTGGCGCCATAGCGCGGCAGATACTCCGCAAAGAACTCACTGATCAGCGTCGGCTCCACGGGGCCATAGAAGCCAGCATAGTCGGGCACCTTGCCGGCCTCGAAGCGCAGCACAGAGTCGCGCGGATTCATGTGCTTGGAGGCCAGCGCCGGCGCCAGAGCCGAATGCGCCGCCTGTCGACAGCTGCTGATGCGTCCGCGTCGTGGCATTTGCTGCTCGGAGCTGGGCTCCCGCTCCTGCAGCAGCCGCACATCGTTGTGGTAGTTCAGCAGGGTGTGGAAGCGAAAGCGGGCGAGCTGCAGCGGCGTATAGCCGCTCCGATGCGCCGCCTCCTGGGCACCGCCTTTGGATAAACTGACAGGGCGCGTCCTCTGCGTCTTTGGCGTTGGCTGTCGCTCAGTCTGTGGCGTCGGTATCAGCAGCAGCTGCTCCGAATGGTAGGGATCGAAGTGCTCATGCTTGTAGTAGAGCTGCAGCCGGCCGCCGTGCTCCAGCTCCTGCTCCGACTGCTCCAGCAGCGTCCGCTCGAAGCCCATGTCCGTCAGCTGGCGGGTGAACTGCAAGACACTGCGACTGCGAAACATGCACTGGCTGCCGGTCAGATGATCCTGCAGCCCGACATAGTCCAGCTGCAAATGCTTACCGTCCGTCGTCCAATTGATGAACTGCACGCGCTCGCTGCTCGCCGCCAGATGCAGCTTGTGGGTGAACTGGTGGCTCAGCAGCGTTTGCAGCGGCGGCTTCGATGCAGGAGGCGCAACGGGCTTCACTTTGCTCACGGGCGGTATGGCGGGCACGGGTGGTAAAGTGGGCACGGGCACGGAATGCAAGGATGACATGGAAGGCAGAGATGACATGGCCGACATGGCTGACATGTGTGGCAATAGCGGCTTCACTTCGATGCGCGTGACCCCATCCGCCAGCACGATGGTCTCTGACGGACAAATGCTCTCTAGATCGTGTGGCACCTCCTCGAGCGTGTTCAGAAACGCTAATAAATCCAATTGAGCATTACTCTGTGCCTGCTCGGGACTCGGCGCTGTCGGACTGTCCCCGGTCTGGTCATCTGACTGCTCATCTGGCTTCACGATTTTTTTTTTGATGGGACGATCGTTGTTGCATTCTCGATGCTTGCTTTTGCTCGTCGACATTTTCCTTTGGCCGTTTAGTTAAAGTTATTTGTTTATTTATTCTGAATAAAAGCAATGCGAGTTTTTTTTTACGAACTACACGCACACTCGTGCAGCACACATGTGTGTGCTGTGAGCCCCAAAACTCATTGTGTCAGCCTGTCAGTGTTAGCAAATGCCGAGCACTGTCATTGAAAAAAA